AAGGGCAGAGCAATTTCCGCTGAGTCATTTCCTGAAATTCGTTGAAAGAACGCGGAACAAACAGACAATGATAAAAGATAAGATTCTAGACTTGTGAAATTACTTCCCACGTCATTTAAGTTTCTTTTAAACACAAGTTTTAACCAAGTTTCTACTCTGTCTGATTCTTCTTCCCTTGGCTTCCTGGAAACCTATCGATTTTCTTAGCATGGTTAAATATTAACTAACTATACGTTTCAAAACTGTCAGCTTCTGTTGCAGTTCATCTTCTGTGACACACTTTTCCTCGCTGAGCTTCCCACGTTTCTTTCCATAAGTTTCTGAAGAGCACATTTGTTCCGAAACTGGTACAGAAACGATTATTTCTTTGAAAACGAAGCCACAGATGACACGCTTGTAGCTTGCCTATCCCGTTCGCAAAAGCAGGTGTTTCTGTATTTCGTTGCCAGTTTTAGTGTACGCAGAGGATTTTTAGGATTTTCTACTGCTGTTCCTTTTACAGAAAATAGCGAAGGAAAATTTACTAATTAATAGATTAGCTGGGACGAGTAATAATTAACTAAGGTGGATTTTTTTTTTTTTTTTTAATTCTCGCAGAGTTCAGCAAAGTATTTTCAGGGATTAACGGCCATATTAATTTCGTTTTGGCATTTTGCGTCGTCCACTATAAAATGGCCTTTCATTTTTTTCAACTTGTTGCCACAAAGCCTTGCATTATATTTTAAAAAAAATTAAATAATGAAGAATCTGTATGAAGGTATGTATGTCTCCCGCATTGTGAAAAATTGATGGCACCCAGAGACATCAAATTTTGAATAACGTAATCCTACTCTCAAAGCCCAAGTGTGGAATTTGGAATTTGTTTTACTGTACGTAATAGCGGCACCTTTTTTTGCCGATTTTTCATTGTACATGTCTTGGTGCGACTATTATGCGGGGAAATCTAGTACACAATATTGTACACTTTTAGCGATTTTTCCCGCTTCAAAACGGAGCTGCGACTATTATGAACGAGTAATTACGTTATTATCTGTTTCATATTTTGTAAAATTTTAACAAATTTCTGATTAAGAAATTCAACTATTTCAAAGCGGCGAGCAATGGCAATACTGTACGGGGGGGGATTCTAGCTCGCGAGACTGTATATAGGAAATTCTAAAGATATGCTGTTTTTAAATATTTTGTGATATTGCTGTTCAATTGAATTTTATGTGGTTTAAGTGCAAAGAATGTGATATTTAATAAATAAAGGTAACACACAAAATGTTGGAGGGGGGGAAACACGCCGTTTTTAGGTGTAATATAAAATCTGAAAGCTTTCAGATTTTTTTTAAAATCATTTTTTAAATTTCTGTTGTACATTTTTACTCTTTTGTTAAATCATTTTATTCAATATTTGGATAACCACATGCTAAATTTTAATAAAATTTTCAAAGTTCATGTGCTATGATATTTTTAACAATTATGTATGGGGAAGATTACCTTTGCGCAGACGATTATTCTGTAACTAAGTACATATTTTATGACTCTGGAAACAGCTAAATGTTATTAATTTCATACCAACCTATTACACCTTTAATGGTCATTACTAGATGATATTGCTTCGTTAGCCTCTGAGACATTCCGAAGAAAAGAATGAATCAACCAAAAAGTAAAAAATAACATGTAAGATTTTAAAAATTCTTATTTTAAAAGAGGCCACTTTGAACAATAAAATATAGTCGTTTTGCCACTGTATTTAGAATAAAATATTAAAGTACACCTTCTATGAACAGAGTACAGTCAAATAAAACTAGGCAGTTTGGAATAGTCAAATAAACTATCCCAAATATTGTGACATGTATGTGTGTGTGTGTAAGATAAAAATATGTAAAATAAAATACTACCAGCTAAATAATGTAATATAACTTCTTTAAATACTTAACAATTCTTTACTGCCCATAGAGAGTAATAGAGCTGCGTAGATTCCTAAAGAGGATATCGCAGCTAGCGAGGGTACCTGCTAGGACTTTTCTGAGAAACGAGATTCTGGTAGCACTGGTTTAAACGGGAGGATTCCTAGAAAAAGAGCACTTCTGGAAGCGAAGTCCCACCTAGCTACGGAAACAATGTACCGGATACGTGGGATTTTTTGGCACCTCGCCGAAAATGTTTCGGTTGAATCTCTGTCCCGCGTAGAGATCAAGCAGTCAGAGGAAAATTCTGCTTCTGAAGAATCACGTGATCTCACTCTGAGCGATAATCGATTGCTGTTTGGCTTTCAAGTCTTTGTAGTAAGTGAAAATGGTAAACCTAGCTACGTAGGTTTCCTGGAAATGTCCTGTCTCTGAGAACTGTTCCTTTCGATGTCCAGTCCCTCGTAGCGGAAACATAATGTGAATGGGACTTAAGAAAGGAGAAGAACTTAGTAGACGTGGCCTTGATTTCAGCAAACAATTTTATTTTTTGAAAACCATTTCTTAGGACACATCTTCTTGTTTACACATCATTATGGGTGCGATATGCACTCCACAGTTTCGTATTCTTTGGCCCTTAAATACTTATAGCTGCCATTTTACAACATACTCATATTTAGTCATATAAATCAAATCAAAACATCCCTCTTCTCCTACCATAACCTCTCAAGAGGACTTTCGGCTCGCATTCGCCGTCTGTTCGGCCGAGTGAACCCCCGCCTCACTGACACTATACATTTATAAACATCCATGCCTTCTCTGGGATTCGAACAGGGTCCTTTGGTACGGCAGTCAGAATCACTAATCACTATCACAGGTGGGCGAATTATTTTAAATTAAATAGAAAATTAAAATATTCGAGAAAAGTAAAATATATTTGATATTTTTCATGGTGTGCACAGAAATCGTTTGTATTTATTTATGTTATTATTGTTGTTACTAACCTCACTTATCTGATGTAATCAGAACAAACCCACGAATTGTTATTGCGGCAAGCAATATACGATTGTGTCTTTTGTTGTTCAGAGCCTAGAGGTCCATATAGGTTACAGTCCAATTTTATGTTCTCTTCTGTTCCAATTTTAAAAAAGCACCATGGGGATCGGATCCGAGGATTTCCCACCCCTCTTCCGTTACTCTAAACTCCCATGAGGACTTTCGGCTTGCCGCATACTTTGAGTGTCCCGTACCGCAAAGACACTATACATTTAATCTATTGATTAAATGATACAACACGTTTAATGTAATGAATAAAAGCTAATGTTTATGATGAAATCTTGCAATACTTTACAAATTGGAGGCCTCTTTACATAGTTTCTTCCTTTTTTGAAATTTTGTTCAAAATATATTTTTAATATGTTGATATTTTAATTTCATACAATTTTATATTCAAAATTATAAATATAAAACAAGCACCTGAATTCTTAATTGAAATTATTTTTTAATTGAGCTTAAACGTTAAAATAATAAAGTTGCAGTTTTGTGAAATGGGAACAAGAAATATTATTTTATTTAACATGAGAAAAAAAAAATATTTAAAAAAATTTTACTTTTTAAATAACTTGAAGGAAATTCTCTGAGATGTTTATTGATTTCAGCTCGCTTCGTTTGTTGACATAGATAGAAAATCGAAAGTATTGCTAATTGCTTCGTACGCAAGCGGTCCATTGAAATAAATTCACAGCTACTTCTGTAATAATTAAAGTCCGCAGGTAATCAGATAGCATTAACTTACGATGAAATAATGACACTTTTAATGCCTAAGGTCTAATGGGTCTAGGCACTAGTAAGACCCTGAGTTACTTCTCTCATTTAACTAGTAATCCTGAGTTACTAAATTACTAGTAACTCAGGGTACTAGCTACTCTTAAACTAGCATATCGTAATCTAATTTAAAATTATATCAGGTATTACGCTGAAGCATATTAGACCTTTTTATTAATATTAAAACATATTTTATTAAATCTGCATATTAAAAACGTTATTTTTCAAACTTTAAATATTTTTTTTAATTTCTGAAACATGAAAATAAAATTTTCGAGGTAGGCTGAAATTTTCAAATCGCAGATTACTTTTATTTTTATAAATTTTAGCTTTTTTCCAAATTTTCAATGACAAACTTTTGCGAGATGTTAAACTATAATTTGAAATTTTATAGTAGCAATTTTTTCTTGTTCCTGAATCCCTTTTATTTTTAATACGTTTACTATTAATACGTAAGCGCCATCTGGTTAACAATAAATAATATTGTTGCAAATATTTATTTGCAGAGAATATAATTCTTGGAAAAAAAAAAAAAAAAAAAGTTCGCTCTGTAGTTCTCGGATATTGAATGTTCTACAATGCTGTATTTTTTTATTTTTTTTCCCTCCCACAATTACAGTAAATTCCTGTAAACACATTTAATAACTTCTAGACAAAATATGTAAGGCATTGCTTTATCTTCTTACTTTATTTAAATCAGCAAGAAGGAATTCTTTTTAATCGAAAAATTCGAAATTTAATCGAAAAATTAAATTTTAAATTAAACACTAAAGTAAATAATGGTATTTTTAATTAAAATGCTTGATTCAAAATCTTATGTTAATTTTTAATAAAAACTTTAAAGTTTAATTTTATTTGGTTTATGAAGATCAATAATCGATCCTGATATTTAGAGTCCAGATAAACAGAATTCTGCTACTTAAAGCTTAGCTTGGATGTTTAAGGAGTAGCAAAAATACTAAACTAGGTGGTTTTTTTTTTTCCTGTTTTACGGCAGGCGATAGCTTAAGCATACATAAAGAGAGGGAAAAAAACATAACAGACATGAAAACATTACTAAGTTAGAAATAGGTGGTAAGCAGTTCGGCGCCTATGGCTAGAACGTCTCTTCGACGCCACCGGTAAATAAGATACCGGGAGGGTGACGGTGAATATACTATGAGACCGACGTGAGAGAATACAATCCTATTCTGCAACCCCGCCCGATTTTAAATTTATGATCACTTGGCGACATTCCAGAGAGAAAACCTCGCCACGGTATCCAAAGGCAAATGGCAACCATATTCCGTCTGGAAACAGTCGGCTGTAGGCTTGTGTCGTGTAGAGATGTGTACATAGTGACCTAATAAATGAAACCGATAGACGGTCTTCAGTATACTATTATTTACGGAGTTTGGTATTAAATCATAACACTGTTTGGATTTAAAACCCTTGTCTGTGATTTTGACGTATTTTCTTCCGTGGACGGATAGATATAAACATGGCCTCTTCTACAGCTTTTGTTATGTGTGTTGTAGTGTTTGGGTTAATGTTCTCCAGTAGCATTGCAAATGACAGGACTTCTACAGAATTTCCCGAAACATTTGATCTTGATAGTGATAGTATAGTCAGCAATAATTCCTGCAATGATGTGAGGCAAGTGTTTGTTACTAAAAATATAGGTTCATTGAAGGATACGTCTGATATGACACACGAAGGTAAAGTTCCCATTTGTTGTATTGTAACTTTGGGTTTTGTTCTCACACCACATGACATTTTATTTACCGTAATTAGATCAGTTATTTTATTTATGAAATTTATTGTAGGTTTCTTCCTTATCATTGAGCTGAAATATTTAAATAAAATCATATACGCTTCGGATATATTGTTTTGTTTTGTTTAAGATAAGGAATATCAGCATGCTTTGTTCGATCAATGTTTATATGTGTTATCTTGTAGCTGACATGTAATTACAAAGATGCAGATGAAAATACATCTTAATTTAGTTTAATGAAGTTTTAATAAAGTTCTGTTTTTGCGAAATGGTGCTTCTTTTAAAAAACTTGGCTTTCTGCCTTATGATTGTTTATGCTTTGAAAAGTTTGACTTCGTTTATTTCCTATATATTTTTATTATGAGTGATGCTTAGAAGAAATTAATAAATGCAGTGTACGGCAGAATTTATGTTTGATTAAAAAGGTAAACAAATAGATGATATAGTAAAAGTAATCTGTCGGCATTGCAGCTAATAATTTTGTTATCACTAATATATATTTTTATTTTGTTCCAAATCGATATATCATTAAAAATTATAAGCATCAATAAAAAAAATATTATATTTTTCCTTAAGAGTTAAAAAAATTTGAATGTTGATTATTAGTGTTTGTTCACTTGCGACATGTAGAATATATTTACAAGGATATCTATGATGGTTTGAATTGTTCATTTTTAGTTGGAAAAACTTCCTCCCTTACCTTTAAAGAACCTTAGTAACTAGTAAATGAATTTCAAATGATTCATAAAATTTGCATTTGGGAAGATAGACATTATCCTGAGATGTTATCTGAAATAATTATTAAAAGTTATATTAATTTATTCTTTACATTTCTTTCTATGTATTTAGCTGTTCATATGTGTAATTTTTCAAGTTCAGTGTTTTAATGCTGTTTTTTTTACTTCCCAATAAAATTTATGTGTAGCGTATGCATATTTGGATTTTAAATTTTGTCTGTTATTAATATGTATGGCATTTCCATATTTTCTAATTATGAAATTCTGATTTTGGAAACATGATGGTGGTTCAAAATGTGAGATATTTTCTTTCAGAGATTTTACATTTTGAATAGTTTATTATAATGTAGGTTAAAGATTTATATATCACTTTGCATTTTATTTCTTGAAAGTTGTATCTTTAAGTGAAATCAATGTACAATATTCTATTCTATAGTAGCAAGTGCCATGGTTAAGACATTATGGTAGCCATTTTATTTTTTCTATGCATTTCTATAATATATTTTGATGCAATCTGTGCCAGTTTTTTTTATTGTTAGCAAGTATGTTAAGTTCCTTATTAATATAACAATGTTAATATGAAAAAAATATAGACTTTGTACATTTTGGGATAAGTATTTGTCATTACATTAAGCTTAATTTAATGAAAAGCCAAAAATTTCATAGTATGAGATGTTAGATATTGTTCTGAATAACAAAATGTGTATATATATTATTTATCTGTAAAGTGTAGGGAAGTGTTTGTTTCAGTTTAGTAATTTAAATCATAAATGTAACTATTACAGTAAGACATTTTTAATTTAAATAATCTTGCAGATGTTATTTTTATCACCATTTTTATAATTAATAATATGAAAACTCTGATTTTTAATATTTTTAAATGGTATTTAAAAAATAGGTAATATATTTAAAATAAAAAAACAAAAATTTATGTTTATTATGTTTTATTAAAATTTTATCAACTTTTAACATAGTGATTAATAGTATGTAAAATTTAATAAATTATGTACATTCTGCAGAGTTTATGAACAGGGGGATTTAGTTGAAACATCACGATTTACAAGCTATTATCTTTTATCAATTCATTTGAATAATTGTTGCCACAGACCCCAAAAACCTGTAAACCTTTGTGAATTCGACTCAGCTTGAGTGGTCTTAAGTAGTATTTTCGTTTTCATTCTGCTCTATATTGTTAAAGTATAAATTGCTTAAAAGCATATTATATTATTTGTCTTTGGAGCAATGGTTGATTTATACATTTGTCTTTCAGATCATTGACTAGAATTTATATCTGGAAGGAAAAATACATAATTTTTTTTTAAATTTCTCTTGCTGATACTTTATTATGAGTTTCAAGTAAATGAAATTATTGTAAAGTAGCAAACTGCATTAAACATATTTACAAAATTACATAAAAATTAATGTTAATTAAATCTTAAAATGGTGACAGAATGATTACAACACATTTTTCAAATTATTACATTTTTTTTTGCTTTTTTATATTTATATTAGATAAATGGAATAACTCATTCCTTTTGTTACATATTATGATATAATCCAGCAATTCTTGCACTAGTGGTATAAATATGTATGCGTGATTCATTTAAAGAGATCTTTGAATTATAACTAACGCGATCAAGTTTTTTTTAGAAAAGAGAAAAACTTTTATTCTTTAAAAATTTTAATGAATGTTTATTTATAACATTAATTCTGCTATTTTTATCAGAAATGTTTACATTTTAATATCTGCTGTTAAATTGTTCACTTCTTAAAATGATTTCTTATAATACTTTTAATTGGTTCAGTCAGTTTTTTTTTATTTCTTTTCTTTTCTGCAGATATTTCACTTATTAAATTTTAATTTTCCTCGAATTAAAAAAAATTCAACTTTTTTGTACATTTTGCAACTTCATCATATTTTTATAACTTTATAGTATTTGCAAATATTAGCTGTTTACTATACACAATTTTGATTGACAGTTTATTATAATTACATATTTGATTTGTGGCTTAGAATACTATGTTTGTTTAATTTTTTCCTTTGGAGTATTTTGTTGTCTTTTTACCTTTAATAGTTTTAAAGTTAATTTCTTGATACATAAATTGTTAACTATAAATAGTATGCCTTATCTATAAAAATGTTTTTGAAGGGGGATTTGTTGTATATATATATACACCTTAGAATAATTTTACTTCAGTAAATTCAAAATGTTATTTACTGGGTATCCCAATAATATTTCCTGTGCCTGCTCGTTCTGTTTATGTAATGATACATTTTCTGTTTAGTTTGCTAATTACTTTTGTTTGTATTTGCAGTCATCCTGACCTTCAGATTAACATCTGAAAGCTAAGCGATTAAATTCCATTCTAATTGGCACTTTTTTATTGTTATCTATTCTCACTAGAGCGGCTGCTGAAACTAAGTGTTTATAGGAAGTGAATGTAGAAAATCTTTAATCCTTTTAATATCAGTAAATTTTGATTTGGTAGATTCGATATCCAAGGTCATGAAAAGATTTGCAACGGTGCAATACATAGGAGTTGTGTAATCTCAATCTTTTTTCATTTACCTTTTTAAAATAAAGAATAATAATAATACTACGTAAGGACTGCATTTATTTTGGTTAAATATTTTGTTCAATAATAGTCTTGAAAATGTTATGGTTCGAATATTAAATCCAAATGTATATATCAGACCGCATATTTGCAGTGTACTTTGTTCTTGCTTGTATGCTTTGAAGCGAGGAGGTGTGCAATTTTTAATCGTTATCGTTTGTGACGTTTATTATGAATCACAGTGCACAGTTTTAGAAACCAGTTTTTATTTTTCTGCTTTGCCCTCCCCTCCTTCCCGCTTCCATAAAACATCGTCAGCCCAGTTTGGACTGAGAATTCTTTGAGTACGTCGTACGTTACCGGCAATGTATGAAACGCTGGCATTCTTAGAATAAATACATAGCCATTTTATAGAGTGGTTTTTAGACGAAGTATGAAGTATGAGAATTATTATATAATACCTAGGCATTCTATAGAATGACAAATGCTTTTTAGGCAAAGAATACGAATAAAAAGGTCATGATAAATGCTGTTATTTAAATGATGTGCATTCCTCAAAAATACAAATGTTATTTTGAATGTGCCATTAAAAAGCTTATATTCAATAATATGTAAAGAGATATGAAAGTTAGTTGTACAAAACAAAATTTAGGCCTTTGTTATTAATGAAAACGTATGGAATGAATGTGTTAAATGTATGGATTAAGTTTTGGATTATATATGAGTATATTAAATGTTATGGATATTCGGAACGAATCGGAAATGTATTCAGTAATTTGCCGGATTCATTTGGCATTCAGTGCTTAGGAAATGTATGCAATGTTAATCGTTTAATACACTGCCGGCAAGTTTTTGGCATTCTGTGAGATGCGTAGGCGTTCTATAGAATGCCGGATTTCATACTTTGCCAGTAACATACATATGTTTATATACATATCATATCTACTCGTGTATTTCCCCTTGTTTTTTACTATTTTTAACATGAAAATCGAAAGGGGGAAAATGTGAAAATAATGGCAATACTTAAATTTCCGAAAGACGCGGTTACAGCCAGAACACAATAAATGAAAGGTATTCACGGATAAACAACCGATAACTGTTCACAGTATTAATTTAAAAAAAAAAAAAAAAATCCGATTACAATACATAGTAATAGTAACAGTACAATATCTAATAAGGTATATTTATTTGTATTTTTTCTGTATCTTGATTCTCGTCCGCTCGTATCTGCCACTAAAATGTTTTTAAAGAATTTTTGAATTTAAAAAAAATTCTAAATGAATTTATAAATAACTTGATCGTAAAAAATGATACTGGGGAAGAAACTTTTCTTTCTCTCTCTCTTTTTTAAGTGTTAAAAAACGAAAGTTGTTCTGTTTAAGGGAAAACTTCACCTTCTTGGAGGACTTTTCAATGGATATTGCACGTATGCAGGTTACAAGGGAGAAAACGATAAAACATTCAGGGTTCAATTAAGGTTCAATTAAGGTTTCATTCAGGGTTAATTAATTTAAAAAAACGAAACTTCGTAAGAAAAAGTTTGTAGCCGTAGTCGGAGCACACTTACTTTGAAATACCTCTGCTGTCATCTTTCTCAGATTTCCTAGACTCTAAGATTTTGCACCCTCTAAAATATGGGAATCTAAATAAA